ATATTAACAATTATTGATATTTCAATCATAGTGTCAATAAAAATACTTCGTACAGATTTTTCGGCACTTAAATAAATGTAATTATGTTATGTGTTACATAGCAGATGTATCGGTAAATATATTTAAACAGAGTACACAAAATAATGGTACATACAGAACATGTAGGCAACACAACTAAAATGTAATAACTTATTTTAATGTAGGAAACAAAAGCTGTGGAAGTCATTTGAAACTTATATCTATCTTTATGGAAGTACAATGTCTCATATCTCCAATAGTTACTGTTGAAATAATTCATTTTTTATGATCTCGTCTTAATTAATCTCTAATTGTTACTGAAACCAGTTTCAGACACATTACAATATTTCAACATTCAATGATGAAGGATATGCAAATTATAGTTAAATCTGTATGTCAATTGAACACACATGGCGCCAATAATTACAAATGTACCACCTATTTTTAAATTGCAAAAGATTATTTAAACATAAAATACACCCCAATTTGTAATCGAAAGAAAATAAATACAGTACATTATCTTGTTCTGTAATAGTAAACAAAATCTATTAACATATAAATAATATTCAGCATATGAAAGCAGTGCACATACCAAATCACTATAATTTTGTTATAAATACTGTGTTTGCTGGAGATAGTATTGTATCTGATAAATGTATTTCGGGAGAAAGCTCTCCTATATTCGTTTTTGGAAATGGTACTAAATAACTATGGTCGGACGACGAATAACCCAGGATTTCCATTTTATTTATAAAATCCTGAAGCGTAAAAACCAATATATATCTTATCACTATTTTACTAGTTTAAAAAAGAAAATGATAGTAAAACTTACTTCTATAGTGTCTGCTGCATACATGGATATTGTTTCTTTTTTACCATTTGGCAATCTTAGGCAGAGTCTTATAGTTTCATTACCTGTGTACAAATATATTTGAATTGTTATGTAAGGTATTAATTATTTATAAATAATTTATAATTCCATTTGAATAAAATAAGCTCTTACTTGATTTAACTTTGTTTAAATCACATTTTGGCTTGCACGATTCGTCCTAAACAAATTATTATTAATTTATTTCTGATTACATTAAGTAGTAACGGTGTATAAACAATTTGCGAATATACCTTCCGACTTTCTTGGATCTTTTCTTTTAATTTTGGTTCGTCGATCCTCTTCTTTTTATTTGTATTTTGAGATTCATTGGCAGGCATACTTGAACTTGAACTCTGAATATCGTCTATGCTATTGGAACTGTCTAAGTCGTTTAAGCTATCGATCAAATGTTTGGAAGTTCTAGTATTACTATCGTGATTCTAAAAATATAACGAGTTATATGACGAAAAAGTTATTTCAGAGTTTACAGGATATGTAAATTCGGTGAGCTTACACTTATTTTTGAATTAGTTGCAGAATTCTCATTTGTTGTTGTTGCTGTTGCAGTATGGTTGCTCCATTTTTTTGAACTAAATGATTCGTTTGTTACACATTCTGGAGATGGATGAGAGCTTAACATATCATTCAATGCAAACATCAAAATTTCAACAGTAATGTGATGGTATGTTTGCATGCATTCCCCTGTTCTAGGATCTATTACTGCCACATAGGGATACTCAGATACGTTGTAGAAGTCTATATAACGCTTTCCATCATTAGTGTTCGACAAAGCCTATTAGCAGACATAACATGTCATGTATTTTACTATCCATTTGAATTAATAATCGAGGACACCATTGATTACTACTTACTTGCCACAATACAAAATGATCTTTCACAATTTCTTCGATCTGTTGGTTGGACCATACATCTCTATTAAGAACTTGACAAGCAAATTCCTGAGGATTTTGGATATTTACAAGTAGCCAACGATTTAATGACTTGGCATGTTCACGTGCTCCAAAAAAGGAGCCTAAGAAGAGAATACTGTATGGTCGTCGAAATAAGTCTTCAAATCTATAAGATTTGTGCTTAGCTTGTTTAATTCCTGCTACCCTACGAGCCATTTCTTCTTCTTGTCGTTCTGCATGAAATAGTTCCCTTTATTTCAATCACTTCAAGAAAACAGAGCTGGATCAAGAGTAAGAATATATCCAGCTCTGATGTTGCACCTAATATTCAACAATATTAACGTGTCTTACGTGTTTCCACTGCAAAGTCTCTAAATCTATCATATCTATTGTCCGACATTCCGGGGAAAGAACAAGCTGGATCGGATGGCACCAATATCTCTTGCGTTGGTAAAATAGGGGGTCTTGTTTCTGGCTCAGGATCAGGATCCGTGTGTCCCGGTTCAGACGCTTGGCCTCCCTCGAACATCAAAGTTATTGCAGTTTCTACATTACCATCGGTAAGACTTAAATACTGACGAGCAATGTCCTCAGTCTCCCCTAATAACAGATAAAATATTTTATCGCATACAATGTGTAAACACATTACATCAAATGATTAAAAGTTTCGCAGAAGAAATACAACAAAATCCGATTGTACGTTTGCAAAGCATTAATCAGCGTCTGAATAAAAAGAATACCAACCAGTTACTTCCATGAATTTTTCAATAAGTTCTGGATCCATTGTGTTTTTAGATTACAAAACTATTTTTTGACGAAATTTACGAACGTTGATCTCAGTTTTCAAAACGATCTCAACCGGCCGACATCTCCAAACATTCAGGAAAATTTTCGTTCCATCGAAGGAACTCGGAAATTTACTGTTAGAGCATGAATATTCGAAAAATTTCCAGAACAAATACTCTCCTTAAATTACAACAACGCGTTGCAAGTATATTTTCGATTAGTACACTGTAAACAGTTGTCCAGACTGCAGTTCAATGTTTCCCCGAACATTAGAATTTTATTATGTGTGCGTGTATAACACGTTCTCTACGCTTGCGCGAGTAAAATGCAGTTCGAATCTGCAGTGGTCTTTTATGACTCGCAAGTTGCAGGCTTGCAAATAGTTGCGCGATCGTACGCACAGAGTCGCTCTAATCACTGCTTCGGACGAGATGATTCGCAAGAAAATTGAGAACTCCTTGAAAACAACTAATAAAATCGATAATTAATTAACACAATCACAGTCGAAATGCACAAGTTCTTATTTTACTTTGTCGATTAATATAAATTCAAACATACGCGTTTGGTTTTTGTACATAAAGAAGGTCCCTTCTTTGCAGATAAATTTCCTATATCGACCAAGCAAGTGGCGCCGCGTAGTCGTATTTCAAAGGTTCGAATCGATCGATCTAGAGTTAATAATCGTTATTGATATATCGAAGTTTCGATTCTCGCGAATCAAGGCGGCAGTATGTACCAGCAGCTATTCAATTTCGAACGAAGATTAAATTCGCAAGTAATTAAATCTTAACCACTTTTTTGCAACCGCGGACGAGAAATCTCGCGACTCAATGTCATTCATAACACGCTGTGAACGAAATACACATATTTTGCGACGCGATGTTGTTTACTATACGCTTCGGATGTGATACCTCGCGTACAACTTTTTCAATGTTTACAATATTCAGTTTTCATTTGGATTTCCTCGGGTGTAGTAAACATGGCTTGACAATTTCGACATAATAGAATTATTAGTGATAGTGAGATCAGCAACAATAACGATTATGTACAGTTGTGACAACGACAGTTCATCAATGGAAACACTCAGGAAACTTATAAAAGCAAGATGATGGAAGATACCGGATCGATAACAGAGTGTTTAAGAAATGGGTGAGTACAGAAAAATTAATTTCTAATCAGCAATTACAGTGTATATTTCCTACATACTATATTATGTTTGCCTATATTGCCTATATAGGCAAATCTGCTCAATAGATTGAAAGAAACTTTTTATTTGTTTTACAATAGTTTATTATTTTATTTTATTTTATATAACCTTTTTATAAAAAGGTTCTAAATTTTTTCAGGGATGTTAGAGGGACAGGTGTACTAGACAATGGCTAAAAAGTTACAAAAATTGCAATTTGTTGGCACGACAAAAGAATTAAAAAATATTAACTTTTATAATAATAAATAATAATAATATTAAATTTTATAATAATATCAACTTTTTTATCTGAGCCCATAAAGAAAATTTAAAAAATGCATTGCGTAGATCTCGCTAACTTATATGCATGCTGAAAATTTCATCGAAATTGGTTAACGCATAGTCAAGTTACAAGCGTTGAAAGATTTGACAAAACTGCAGATTTCTAACAGTTATTAATCAAAAGTGTGAAAAATCAGGACAATACGGCGATTTTTGCGATCATCAATTTTGTCACCCATCGCAATAATAAAGTGACAAATATCATAATAAAGAGAAACGGTCATCGACCGTTCTCTATGCGAGCGTCCTCTGTACACGTTCCCCACGAGAAGCTACAGACTTTGCTCGACAGATGTCGGGTCACGTTTATTCGATCGGGTCGAGCAACGGATAAAAACTCGTTCCAAATAATTTAATTACTTTAAGACGAACGATTCGTGTTATTCACGATTATAAATAACATTCTTCCCGCTCTGCGGCGATCGCTACGAAATCCTGTAGAGAGTAACCCTGCGCACGCAGAGCTTTTCTAAGCTCGACGGAGAGAACGGAAGCGATTAATAAGAGCGAGAACGCTCGAGACGATAGGCAACGTTCGCGAAACTTAGGGAAAGCTGGGTTGTGCAGGATCGTCGTAAATTATCGGGAAATTAACCGCGTCGGGGAGAAAAAGCTGATGGAATAGCGGGAAGGTGAGACTTTCGAGAGCGTGAGTGGAAGAAGGAGAGGGAGAGAGAGAGAGAGAAAGAGAGAGAGGGAGAGAGATAGATAGAGAAAGAGAGAGGGCTTGACGGGATTCAGAGAGGCGCGAGCGAGAGAGAGAGCGAGAGGCGGACATATATGGTCGCGGGGTCCGAGAAGCTCTCAAGTTACGCCGACGGCGCTAACCGTTTTCACGATGATGCTCGCCCTCTTTGTCATTCGTTGCCTCTCGCTTCTCTTTTCCTCTCTCTCTCGCCCTCTTCCTCTCTCTGGCTTCTCACTCGGTCCTTTTCTTCCCGACCGGCCGATCTCCCGTCTCTCTTCCTCCCGCACGACTCGAAATGCCGGCGTCTTCGTCGCGCCACGACCAAAAATATCGATGGCTGAGCAACAGTCGCGGGTGAGAACGAGAGGGAACGACGAGCGAACGAAACACGGCCAGACGGAGAGAGAGAGAGAGAAAGACAGTGAGCGAAAGAGAAAGAAAGAGAGAGATCGTGAGAAAGAGGGAGAAACACGGCTCCGCGAGCGTGACGACGAAGGAGGGGCGAGGTTCCCGTTATTTCGAGATTATCGGGGATTGCCTGCTTTTTGGAATCGTGCCGATCGTCTCGTCTCCACTCTCGATATCGAGTCGGATTCCCAATCTCGCGGTACGCTACCAACGAGAATACCTTCGCCATCACTTTTTTTCTCACCGTCCAGAGTCGGTGCCAGCACGATTGGGAGAACGCTTCGCTTCTCGATGCCGCTCGAGAGCTTTTCTCTCGACGATATTGCAGCCACGAAAATTGCACGTTGCGCGTCCTGCCCACCTGCACGCGTCGGCGGTCGTCCGGATCCATCGAAAACGCGGATTGGAATCTTCTTCGATGGATGAATCGTCGAAGATTCATGAAATTGGACTCGTGCGTGTGAACAAAGTTTTGGCCAGTTGCAGACATTTCTTTCTCGATCGATCTGAAATGCTTAACGTTTCCATGGTGTAACTGTTGCTTCGTCGGTAGACCGTTGCACAAAGTCAATAAAATGATCAAGGAACGAAATAAATAATTGCAATAATTGCAATCACTCGCAATTATTATTTGTAGAAAATTTGTATCGCGTAAAAATCTACGGTAAATTTGTTAGACTTTTATCGACGGCTTTGGAGACAGGACAAAGTCTGTTTCAGAACGATCCCTATCGAAATCGATCATTGTATTTCTACAGTGTGTCCCATAATTATGTCATCACTCGGAAAGTGGTGATTCTTGAGGTCATTTGAAGTAAGTTTTTAACGATTTGTTTACGAGTTATTAACGAAAAACAGTGACCAATGAGAGGCGAGCTCGGTTGACGTGAAGCGGCCGAGCCGACGAGCGGTCGAAGCCCAGTTCCGCTGATTGGCTCGGCCGCCTAGCGCTAGGCGAGCTCGCCTCTCGTTGGTCGGCGTTTTTCGTTAATAACTCGCAAACGAAGCCGCGGATCGCATTTTCGCTGAGGAAAAAGTTAATTCAAATGATCTCAGGAATCACCCTTTTCTGGATTTTAATATAATTATGGACATTCTATATCGATCAATCCAATGATCCAAAGTGACCAAATGACCAAAGCGTTAACAGGTGGCCTTTCAGCTGCGGGAATCCATGAAAAGGATTTTCCAAACTGTGTTTCCAAGAATGCATAAAATCGTAGCTGCATCGATGTTCAATAAAAAGTTGTCACCGTATCGATACCGTTTTTATACAAGGAGGCTGAGAACCGGAACGATAAACGGGCGCAATGACACAATAATAGAATGACGAAATATGAGAGTATAAAAGAAAAGCGAGTAATCGCGATATGTTGTTGATTCGCTGACTCGATGCCAATGAAACGGGAGCGACAAATTTTGAGCTGTATCATTGTTGTCGCAAATCGACGATATACCTATCAGCGTGTCAGTGGTATTGTACGAAAGCTTCCGTTTCAAAATAACGATGCATCTATCGTGTTCTACAGCGTCTCTTAAGATTGAGTAATCGATTAACAGATTAAGAAATATAATTTTCGCAAAAAAGCAGCGCATCGATTGCTCTTCAAGCGATGGTCCCAATAGAACGATTGGGCCTGACTCGTCGATTTACGATCTGAAATTGCTTCAGCTATTGCAAAATCGATCGGAAGACCCAAGATTATGTATACCAGACCGAACATAATTTTCTCTGGTACCATCGTGCACGTATCTCCTCGCGCATACGCTTCGAGCTCGTGTGTTTCGTTTTGTGGAGAACTTCCCGTTCGAATCGTGGCCACCGTCGAGCCGTGGGTCGCGTATTTTGGGACGGCCTGTAGGCCTGTTATAGAATTGTCAGATTGTACACTGTCGGTGAATAATACGTGTCTGAGGATATTGAGTAACCGCGTGGGAGTCGCGGTGACCCAAGAATAGCCGGACGAGAAATGCAGAATCTTCGAATTTTCATCTCGTCGGATTTATCATTTTCTCGCGCTAGATCACGCCGAAAATCCTCCGCCCCCGCGGATCGACACCGTATTCAATAATAATTCTTCGGCCGCGCCGAACCTCTGGAAGCCCGGAAAGATTCTTCGAACGGTTTGTTTCCTCGTGCCGGTCGAAAGATTTCCACCGAAAAAACCACATCGCGACATCGATCAAGAGATCTCGAAATTTCCTCTACGCGGTCGGCTCCGGCAGCATCCCCCGGAGCCGTTTCTCCGTTGTTTTTTCTGGCCGACTCCGCCTGGCCCCGTATTTATTTTCGATAAGGTTCTACGCTCCACTTTCACGGTGTCTCCTCGTAAAACCGTTCGGCTCGTTTTTTCTCCTTTCTTCTTTTTTTACAGCGGCGGGACATTAAAGTCGCGACAATTCCCGGGAAGCTCGGCGCGGTTGCGTGTCGTTGTCCCTGTTTCGCGATTGTTGACGGTGCCGCTTTCGAACGCGTTATTCCCAGATGCAATTTCTCCCGAAATAGACGTCAGCCCGCTAAATAGATCGCGCGACACGCGCAGAGGACGCCGCAAAAATCCCCGACAATTTTCATGCCGTACTCTCGCGCACACTCTCGGGGCCCCTATCGCTCGCGCGAGCACCCTCACGGGCCAGCGCGTTTTACTGCCGCACGTACGGGCCGCGCCACGTTTCAAGCGCAATGTTCACCGGGTCAATGTTAGATATTCGGGATTTATGCCCCCCCGTAACGCGACGAACTGCTCTACGACCGCTAGAGCTACTCGTAAACCTTGCCGGGACAGGATAATCCTCGGAAAAACAGCGCGGGCCTGCCAGCTTACCGTAATTTATACCTTTAAAAACCGGGTCCGCGATCCGGGACTGAACTTTGTATGTTAACGTTCATTTTCTCTTGTAAGATATCTAATTTTATAGCTTTATTACGGTTCCTTATTCATCCTTGGAAACGTTGTTCTCTAGTGCAACTGAA